ATTTGATGGAGGCAGGAAAGGATCTTATCTCCAGTCGTATCGGGCTTCATACACGCTTCGGGAAAAGCCAAAAGTAGAGTTCACATTAATTTCTAGAAAGAGACCTGGAGCCATCTCAATGAAGCGAGAGAGGATCTGCACGCTAAGACAATCTCCAAACGTCAAATAATTTATGTGGTAAGTAAACCTCCTTGGCTCATCCAGAATTCCTAGAAGTTCGTTTTTAAATACCACCTCAAAGCCTCAGAATATGGAACAAAGCGAAAGACATTTCTAGAATGCCTAGCGTCGAATCCGTGTCCACCAGGTGAAAAAGGACGTCCAGGTTTCGATGGCATGGACGGAGCACCCGGGGAACCAGGAACGCCTGGAGAGCCTGGCCTACCAGGAATCGTACCACCTGTTGAGCCCAGTACCAGTGGATGCCGCTCGTGCCCTCCTGGAAGTAAAGGACCGCCAGGTCAGTGTTCGCGCTTTGAAATTTATGCTTTGCTGCTAAATAAACTCTTTTCAGGCTACCCCGGACAGCCAGGTCCGCAAGGATTGCCTGGTCCGGAAGGACCGCCAGGAACGGAGGGTCGCCCAGGAGCAGAGGGTCCTCCTGGTCCCCATGGACCGATGGGTCCGATGGGTGAAAGCGGCAAGGACGGTGAGCCTGGTCCTCCAGGACAGGAGGGCATACACGGCGAGAAAGGACCTCCGGGACCTCCTGGTGAAAATGGTTTGGTCGGCTCTCCAGGTAATACTGGACATCCTGGACCACCTGGACAACCGGGACCTGTTGGTATCCCTGGAAAACCAGGACCAGATGGAGAAGCAGGTAAGATAGCAATTTCACTGGTGTCATTCAAGTAATTGTAGGTTTTCAGGCATGCCCGGATTCTTTGGCGCTATCGGAAAGCCTGGTGAACCAGGAGCACCTGGAGAAGACGCTAACTACTGCCGCTGCCCAGGTCGTCGCAAAGGTGGCAGTCTCAGGCGATTCAGCTAGGAACCTTTTCAATTTGTGCCTGAAAATAATTTTCACGACTAAATAAATATTGATTTTCTATTGATAGAGCTCTTAATGTCGTTAAGAAAAAGATGGGTTATACAGTTAAAGAAACAAGTGGACGTGAGTTCCGATATGAGGGATCAGGTCGACAAGACTCGATATGTACTTGCATCCGCTTCGGTATAACCAATAACACACGCACCGATTAGTCAGAAAATGTCCCAATCACTCCTTCGAAGTTTTGCCGCCGGAGCGATTCGCAAAATAATTGCTAGTTGTATGTTTTGATGGGTTGCAAAAAGGGCGCCTTTCTGAAAGCTCTAGTTTTCTAATACATAGATGCTCGTACCATTTGTAAGGTAATTGGCAGAATGAAGGCTGTCATCACACTCTCGCAGACGTGAATACCAAGGATGACAACCTTTAGGGGAACTTTTTCAGCTGGCGGTGGAGTTTGGCTAAATTTGCGTGATACTATTAGGATGGTAAGAAAGTCCTGAGCCGTTTGACACTTTTTTGCTTTACTTTTTTATTCCGCGTACAATGGAATCTACTCAACAATATAATCACCATTGTTACTCACTACAGAGTCCCACCTAATGGGCAGGTCAGCGACCCCCTTCTCCCAGAACTGAGCAGACTGAGAGTCAAAGAAATCGCTGACCGCTCTTTCAACGTCTTCAACTTTGGTGAATTTTTTCTTCGCTAGGAATGCCTTAAGGGGATGAAGTAAGTGATAATCAGAGAGGGCAATGTCAGGGGAATAGGATGGTGGGGAACCGCGTCTCAGATCAGCTCAT